CAGAAAACTTTCAGTAGTTTTTGTTTTATAGTAAAATTATGCATGTACTTTTAACATTCAATAAAATATTTTTAAATATTAGACTACTAAATATCTAAAACAACTTTATGACTTGCTAATTTAAAAAATTTAACACGTTTTGAAAATCAATGTTCAAACATTACAATTGTGCTGTGCTTATTTTAAAAGTCAATAGATAAAAACAAAACCTTGTACTTACTGGGCTGTGTCTCTAGTAGTACATGGAAAAAAAAAAAAGACAATCATTTTAGAATTTAAAATATCCTATTTCCCAACTCTAATAATTAGTCTCTTCCTTTCTGAAGCATACTTAAAACCTATACAATTTAAAACACATACATTGTTTGGGGGGAAATACTTAGGCTAAATAAGCAAACTGAGCAAAAAAAATATACTCACAATATCTTCAGTTCACAACCAATATTAATAACTAAAAATTTTACGATTATTTTATGAGAATGAAATTAATGTGCTCACTGTTTTAAAACAGATATAAAAGAAGAGCACAAAAGAAAATTAAAATCATCAATGAGCTCACAACTCAGCAATAGATGCTTAACATTTTGATACATATTTCTCTAGGCTTTTATTTATTTACATATAAATCTTAAGTCAGTTATGCTCTTACAAAATAAATATGTTTAATGGTTTCCCTAGCTGGTTTGGCTCAGTGGATAGAGCGTTGGCCTGCAGACTGAAGGGTCCTCGCTTCAATTCTGATCAAGGACATATGCCTATATTTCAGGCTCAATCCCCAGTGGGGGGGCGTGTAGGAGGCAGCCAATTAATGATTCTCTTTCATCATTGATGTTTCTATCTCTCTCTCCCTCTCCTTTCCTCTCTGAAATCAATAAAATATATTTCAAAAGATGAATAGTTTCACAACTTTTTATTTCAGATATATATGTTAACCTTGGCATTAATCTTAATGTTCACTAGTAATGATAGAATAAAACTTCACTTCAGAAATCTGTCTTTTTGTTGGGAAAAAAGATTCTAAAATTAAATTCTAAAAGTGAGTAAGAGAAAAAAGCTTTTAGCCAAACGAATGCATACAGACTACTTAAAATATATAATTAAATAACAAAATGAAATAATGAGAACTTTTATTCTCTATTATCAAGATGAACAGATTAAAAACAATTTTGAATAACTACAAATATACTAAAAAAAAACATGATTCCCCCCCCCATAGTTTAACATTTTTAAATGAAGCGTAAGACATCAATGGAAAGATGTATCATATTTTTTCCTCCCTCAAAAGCTATTAAGTTATGGTATCTTAGAACTGAGAAATTAATCATTATAATGAAAAATTCTTATATTTTCCTTCCATGAAAAGTATAGAAAACAAATGTTATAGTGTTAGACAGAAAAATGCAGAGATCATTTAATCTTTAAATTCATTTTTACCACAGTCCCTTCTACATAAACTTCATAAAACATGGACAAAAACTTTAAAATTCTACGAGGAAAAGATTAATACTGCTATTCACAAAATTCTGCCTGAGACCCACAGCAGTATTTACAAAATAAAACAAGTGGCAGAAATAGTGGATTTTCTACATGTTTGCTTCCTTTATAATACACATTCAAAAGAAAGCCAAACTAAGCCAAACTTACAGTTCATTTGACTGTATAAAAATTATAGACTATATTCCTCAAAAAAGCTAAATAAAAAGAAAAAATACATGAAATTAAATATTTCCTCATCCACATGCTAAATGATGTCTTATTATTCTTCCTAAAATTAACCAGATGCAGGTAGATAAGGTATTAAAAAAAAAAAAAAGAAGACTTCTATGTAAGTATAAACTTACTCATTTTCTTACTTACAGATATTGCTGGAGAGAGCGTTATATTTCCTATAGATAGTTTTAATTCATCCAAGGAAGCCATTGTATGATGTGAGTTATTTGGATGCATAGGTTTAATTTCTATCCGATACTTCTTTGGTTCTTCATCTTCAGAATCAGAATCACTAGATGAGTAGAAATGGTTCTCTTTGGTATGTGAGTATCAGTTAAAGAATTTAGTTTTTAGCCGAAACCGGTTTGGCTCAGTGATAGAGCATCAGTCTGCAGACTGAAGGGTCCCGGGTTCAGTTCCGGTCAAGGGCATGTACCCTGGTTGCGGGCATATCCCCGGTAGGGGGTGTGCAAGAGGCAGCTGGTCGATGTTTCTCTCTCATCGACGTTTCTAGCTCTCTCTCTCTCTTCCTCTCTTTAAAAAAATCAATTTTATATATATATATATATATATATATATATATATATATATATATATATATTTTTAAGAATTTAGTTTTTAAGCCGGGACCGATTTGGCTCAGTGGATAGAGCGTTGGCCTGTGGACTGAGAGGTCCCGGGTTCGATTCCGGGCAAGGGCATGTACCTTGGTTGCGGGCACATCCCCGGTGGAGGGTGTACAAGAGGCAGCTGATCGATGGTTCTCTCTCATCGATGTTTCTAACTCTCTATCCCTCTCTCTTCCTCTCTGTGAAAAATCAATAAAATATATTAATAAAAAAAAAGAATTTAGTTTTTAAATTGTCTTAATGTATAATCATATTTACATATTTTAAAAATAAAAACCTTTAAGAGACAAAATAGACTTTAACAGAAATATAACAACTTTCATTAATTAAAACATGTCAAATGAAGAATATGGAGTCATTTTATTATAATTAAAAATTTGAAGACTGTTTATTAAATAGACTAGTGGCCCCTCATAGTCACTTGCCTCAGCTGGCTGCCCCGCCCACCACAGCTGTACCTATTCGCTGCACATAGCTCGCTTCCCTGCCTCCTGTAGCTCTCCCCCACTTGAAGCTTGCTGCCCTGCCCTCCTGCCGATTGGTTGTTATGCATCACGATGTTAACCATTTGCATATTACCTCTTTATTATATAAGGATTATTTTGACTGTCTACTTATAAGCCATTAAAAATATCCAGATGATGAAAGGATATCATTCTGATTTGCTTCTGGTTTTATACTGTAGCCTTCTTCATCTACATCAGGAATGTTCTATGGAAAGAAAAAAAACTGTAATGATGGCTCCAACTAAAAAAATATTATTAGAGTCTAGAGGCCTAGTGCACAAACTCTGTGCACACGTAGGGTCCCTAGCGGCTGCTGGCTGCCGGTCAGAGTGCCTCTCTTGCCCTGGTGCCTGCCGCCGCCAGCCACAGGCCCCCCTCCCCCCAGCCGCCCCTGCCCCTGCCACTGTAGGCCCAGCCCTCTAGTCAAACTCCCAGTCAAGAGGACAATTTGCATACTAGGCTTGTATTATATAGGATTAGCAAGTAGTCTTAACTATTACTGAGGTGCTATGTCATATATCAAATGTCAATAGGTTAACAAAATTCTAACACTTTGGGGAAATTATATCTTTTTAGTTAGCTTCAAATCACACTCCATGCTTCAGATGTCTGAAATAGAAAAGCATTGCAAAATGAAACAAGGGGAACACTGAAAAGAATTGAACAGGTATTCAGGTAAAAATGCTAGCAGTTCTGTAGACAATCAATATTCACCCTAATTTTCAAAGTAAGGAAATAAAAGCACAATACTGTGTGTGTTTGGAGAAGGGAAGTGATGAAATCAGAAGACTGACAGCATAAGTTAATGGAAAAATAGAGAACAAAAAATAGAAACAAAAGACTATCAAGAAAAGTAAAACTACATTAAAATACTACTTTCTTACGAGACTGGCAAAAATTTAAAAGTTTGAATTTTGAATTTCAAAATAGTTGACAAAGCTGTGGGGAAATGTACTCTTATACTTCACTGTTATAAATACAAAATATTGTAGTCCTTGAATAAGGTCGTTTTGTTTTAACAATAGCTAGATACCACGGGAACTTAACTCTTGTTTATATCAATTACCCTAGGGTGAAACTGATTTAATTATATAGTTTTACATAAGGTCGCAGAACCTATCAACAACATGGAGTACTTACTCTATTGTAACCTCTATAAAGAGAAATTTAACAATATTTAACAAAAATACTATGTGCTGCCGAGACAGGTTTGGCTCAATGGATAGAGCGTCGGCTTGGGGACTGAAGGGTCCCGGGTTCGATTCCGGTCAAGGGCATGTACCTTGGTTGCGGGCACATCCCCAGTAGGGGGTGTGCAAGAGGCAGCTGATCGATGACTCTCTCTCATCAATGTTTTTAACTCTCTATCTCTCCCCCTTCCTCTCTGTACAAAATCAATATATTAATAAATAAATAAATAAAATAAAAAATTGTCTTAAAAAAAAATACATATGTGCTTACTCTTCCATCCAGGAATTCCACTTCAAGGAGTTTTCCCCAAAGATACACCCCCAACTATTTAAAAATTCATATACAACAAAATTATTCATCAAAGATTGTAACTCAAATATTATTGGAAAGCATAGTTGAGTATACGGTGGTACACACCCAAAAACAGTACTATACAGCCATTTAAAGAGAGCCCTGCCAATGGTGGCTCAGTGGTTAAGTGTCAGACTGGAGGCCGCAGGTTAGATTCCAGTCAAGGGCACATGTGTGGGTTGCAGGTTCCATCCTTCTCCTCCTCTTCACCCCACCCCATCCACTCCCACCCTCAGGTCAATTGATGTTTCTCTCCCCCTACCCAATTCCACTCTCTAAAAATCAATGGAAAAAATATCCTCATACCTAGGGTGAGGATTTAAAAAAAAAAAGTACAAAAGAATATATATAGTGTAATATATTCTAAGAAAAAAGAAAATTAAAAAACATGCATACTTGCTAATCTTTTTTTTTTTTTTTTAGATCACCAGAAGGATAAATCAAAACACAAAGTTGATCATTTACAAGGCAGAGCAATGGAATAGAACAAATACAGAAGGGAGTGACATTTCTTTAAGTATGCTCTTGTAATTAGGTAAGAGAACATTTCTACGTTCAGAAAAATATATTCACATTCATAAATGTATGTACATATGTAGGGAGAATGCAAATGTTAAAACAAAACAGTAAGTAAGAAGTTAAACATATACAAGTGTTCTTTCTACTATTCAGTCTTGCATTTTTTTTGTAAACTAGAAGTTATTTCAAAATAAAAGATTTTAAAATTGAAAAAATGACTATCAAGAAATGCCAGGACAGCCGAAACCGGTTTGGCTCAGCGGTAGAGCGTCAGTCTGCGGACTGAAAGGTCCTGGGTTCGATTCCAGTCAAGGGCATGTACATTGGTTGTGAGCACATCCCCGGTGGGAGGTGTGCAGGAGGCAGCTGGTCGATGTTTCTCTCTCCTCTCTGTAAAAAAAATCAATAAAATATATTACAAAAAAAAGGAAAAAAAAGAAATGCCAGAACAAAAGATATTATTGGGCAGCCGATATCCTTCTATTGGTAAAGTTTGCCATTCTTTCTCCAATCACTTGCTAAAACCTCAGCAAGAGGAATACAAAGAATTGCTAATCTGAGTCAGGCATAGCATAAGATCTAGGAGAAATAAAAGCAGAACAAACACACTGATGTAGCCTGTAGTGAATTAACAGGCCAGATATAAACTCTCGAAATAAAAAATCTAATATAGGGTAAAGAACAGATTACATAGATAAAAATATGACCAGTGATGACCCTAAAAATAGAGCACTTTATTTCTACATAATGCTTGCTAATATGCAAATAACATTTAAAAATACTTTTAAAATAAACTTGGCCAAATGTCGATTCATTAAAAATACTTTATCTCTAATTCCTAGTACTCTAGAAACATACCACATATTTAATTTCCTAGAGGTTCTCCTATCTGGGATTTGCAGATGATGTGCTGTTGTGTTTTTTTTGTTGTTGTTGTTGTTTTGTGTGTGTGTGTGTGTGTGTGTGGTGTGTGTGTTTTGTGTGGGTGTGGGTTTTTGTGGGTGTGTTTTGAGTTGTACATTAAAACTTCTATGTTTTGCACCCCAATAAATTCAATTATAAAAAAACAACAATTCATTTCTTATATGTCATAAGAATTTTGTGTCCTCTTTAAAAGTCCTTCTCTAATTCCAGGCAAGTACTAACTAAAGTTCAAAACTGGTTCAGTGATCATTATAGAGTAGTATCAATGAGTGAAGAGAATTGAAAATGTTTTGCCCTAGCTGGGTTGGCTCAGTGGATAATGTGTCAGTCTGCAGACAGGGGTCCCAGGTTCGATTCTGGTCAAGGGCACAGGCCCAGGTTGCAGCTCCATCCCCAGCAGGGGGCATGCAGGAGGCAGCTAATCAATAATTCTCTCTCATCATTGATATTTCTCTCCCCCCCCCCTTTCTTCCTCTCTGAAAACAATAAAAATATATTTAAAAAATAAAAATGTTTTAAAGGAATATATATAAAATACAATATTAAGTACTAAAGGATTTCATGCAATGTTGCAATCATCAAACAAATACTATACATAACTAATTCAGAAATAAAATGCATGAGTAAATGTCAAACATCTGCTGACTTTTCCATTAATTAATAAACCAAGATTATCAAAATAGTAAGTGGTAAGGTAAATGTTGTAACTCTAAAAACACTAATAATTCCTAGAGCTCATTAGAAGTCTATTTCATTATTTTCACTATAAATTTATTAACAAATGATAGTTTCCTTATTTTAAAGCTGAAATATTAAACAAAATACTAATTTTATCTTAATATAAAACACAATGTTACACAAAATACCTAGTTATTTATTTTGATATATCCTTATGCTGTAACACATCAAACCGTTTTGGGGCCAAAAGAAACAATAGTTATGCAAGCAAAAACAATAAGCAGAGGAGATGGAAAACTTGGCTCTACTACACTTAACATAACCAGAGTTTAAAGAGCAATTCAGAAAAATGTGTCTGTTTACATACTACATATACCATTTGGTAAATCTACTCTCCCACTGTAACGACATGGAGCTCCATTTGATATCTTCTTTAATTATATATAAAGAAATATATGAGATAAAAACAAATTTTAAAAAGCACAGAAAAATACAAACCATGGTTATTTTTTCTAAATTGATAATCTCTTAAATAAACTTAAATACATGAACAGATAAAGTACTATTTTTAAGATATAAGAATAAATAACCACCATATTTTAAAATAAAGTGAGCAGATTTGATTTATGACATACTTCCCCCAAAAAAAGCAATATGCTATGCTACTAGTCCAATTTAAAAGTAAAATGTCCACTTTTTAAAGGTAATTAGAAACACCTTCATTTTGACAGGAAAGCATCTGGCAATATAAAGCCAAATATGCATCTGTAAAATCATTTTAATAGTGGATTTATAATAACATAAGTATTTTTCTTGAAAAGATTTGTAAACAACTCAACCCAAATATGCTGGGTATTTCCTAATTTAAAAAAGCTCATTTAAATTATTTATATCAAAGTAAAAATCTACTTACAAGTGAATCTGCATCAGGGCATTCCCTATTAAAACAAACCAAGTATTAGAAACATTAAGCTATTAGAACTATCTGATATAATGCAATATTAAAAGTGTCTACCATGGTATCTAAGCATAACTTTTATTTAAACTCTACAAAAATACCTAGAAAAATAATCTCATAAAGATTTTTAAAAATGATTTTTAAATTTAAAAGAAGGCATTTCTGTACCCATAATCCATGACATCATAAAACAACACAAATGGTTTTAAAACTACTTTCAAAAGTACTTCTTTTCCTTGAACATACACATGAATCATATCAAGGAAGCTGTCAGTCCTATGAAGATTTCTAGTGGCATTTCATTATTCAGGGAGAGAAAGTGCAAAACAAAGTTTCCTTCGAAAAAGAAAGTCTGGCTTTAAAAAAAAATAAAAATAAAAAAAAAGTCCACATTTATATTTCTTAGTAAATGGTAAAAAACAAAAACAAAAAAAAATTTTTAATAAAATTTTAAAACATTTTTTAAAGTCTATACTTTCAAAACTGACATTTCAAAGTGTAGTACTTTCTAGAAGTTAGTCTATATAAAAAGTTTCAAAACGACTTTTCTCCAAATTTGTTAAGTGAGTGGTTAGACTTCCATTAACTTTCTAGTCTAATGTAATATGTAGTTCAGAACTAGTATTTTATCATTTAACTGATATACAAATATGACTTTGGATATAAATAAGTAAAAACTATCACTTAAAATATAAAACTAAACATAAAAACCAATCTTCTCAATTAACCTAAAAATGTAAAACTAAAAACACTGAAGCCATGAGGAATAAGGTTAGAAAATTTTCTATGTATGCATTCTTTAAACATACATAAATAAAAATTAGAGTACATACTTAAAAGGCTTTTGGATTAGTTACATATTCTTAGGCTTGAGACAGATAATGCACATAATATCAAGATGTGCCATTTTAACAGACTGAAAATATAGGCATTAAGTACACCTTAAGAGCCAAATAAACAATAAAAAGCACTAAATTAACATACAGGATAAACAAATAATCTCTAACCAAAGAGGAAGCACAAATCAGAAAAATATACAAATTAAAAACTTTTGTAAAAGGAAGATATAGTGGAACATACTGAATAAATAAAAACAATGCAGAATGACTACACAGCTCTTAATCCAAACTGAAGCACCAAAGGGACAGGGTAAATACAAATCTCATGTCTTTATATCCACTTAAAATCGCAAATTTTGAAAAAGAGCTTCCTTATTATTGGTAAATGAAGAAACCTAAGTATACTCTGAGGAAATGTTCCACCAGAAAAGGCACTGTAATTATAAATTCAATCCCTCTACAGAATCAAATCAATTAAGATGTTAAAACATTTCTGCTTTCTGCCTTTTTTTAAAAGTACAGTTTAAATATAAAAGCAAGGGAACAACTTCCGAACAGATTATCCCTTGGCTTTAAGCAGAACTCCTCGGTGTTTACCGTTATGTCACAGTACTCTCTGCTTGCCTTCACAGTGGGCTCTACGCCACCTACAGAGGAAGCCCCAGGAAGAGCATCCTCTTCCACAACTGCTGGCATTTCAAAAGCCTGAGGCTATGAGAATAAGTCTGCTGAGAAATTTGGGCATTTTAAGCAAAGCGAATTCTAACACTTTTTTCTGCCAGGAAGTGTTTAAAGAAGGAAGTCATGGTACAATGGTTTAAGGATAATTTTCTGCTCTAGCCTTCTAATTGGTAAAAATATTACAATATCCACATGGCCTATTGATCATACTGAGAAATTACTCATCATGAAACATTATTTAATAACACAGATATAGCCCTGGCTGGTTTGGCTCAGTGATTAGAGCATTGCCTGAGCACCAAAGGGTGGTGGGTTCTCTTCCCAGTCAAGGGCATGTAACTCGATCGCAGGCCTGATTGCAGGCCTGATCCCAGGCCCAGTAGATATGTGAGCAGGAGGCAACCAATCTGTGTCTCTCTCTCTCACACAGATACTTCTCTCTCTCTCCCCTCCTATCTCCCTTCCACTTTATCTAAAAACAATGGAAAAATTTCCTTGGCACAGCTGCTGTGGCTCATCGACCTATAAACCAGGATGTCAGAGTTTAATTTTCAGTCTGGGCACATGCCCGGGTTGCGGGTTCGATCCCCAGTAGGGGGCATGCAGGAGGCAGCCACTCAATGATTCTCATTATTGATGTTTCTATCTTTCCCTCTCCCTTCTCTGAAATCAATAAAAATATTTAAGAAAAACACACACAAGAAAAAGAAAAAATTCTTCAGGTGAGGATTAAAAATGAATAACTAAAAGTAAATAAATAGATAAAAACACAAATATACAAAAATATTGTAAGCTCCCTGAGTGAACTGCTGTGAAAAGCACACATTATAAAAATATTTAATTATGGCCATTACTTTTATTTGTTACTCCTTGGCCCTTGACTGGAATGGAACTCACAACGCTTCAGGCCTATGCTTCAATCACTGAGTCAAACCAGCCAGGGCTGTGGCCATTACCTTTTATATTAATACAGTCACTATCAAATGAATGGCTGCATTAAAAATTTACTTACAAATCAATTGTTTAGACTTTAAAATGTATTTCCAATGTTATAAAAATGGATTAGGTTCCATCCCCTTAGCAAAATACCCCTTTCATAAATGCTCAAAAATGACATTTGCAGAAGAAATGGCAAATGTCATCTGTAGATATAAATCACTTTGTAATTGTCTTAATTTGTTAACCAAATACCACTTATAAGAGAGGATGAAACAGACATTTAGAATGGCCAGAAATTCTGAAAAACTCAAATAAGAATTAGTAGGCAAAAACACTCAAAGCACAAATTGTTCTCTTATACTGCAAATATGTGTGCCCATCAAAATATTAAATTTCGTGTGAGTTCTGACTATGATAGAGAAGAATTTTAAATTTTCAGCCAAATGTCACTGGGTCAACAAACCAGTTAAGACTTTTAATTAGTGTCCTTCAATCTACATGGGTTGAATAATTACAGAAAGAAGGATGTCTTTAATTCCACTTTGTCTCTGGTTAATCAAAACTCATTGATTCTCAACCCCAGATGTATATAAGCAATTACATAGGCTGCTTAAAACAAAATGAAGACTATGCTGGGGCCTCCTGACCATGAATCTGGTTAAATTGGTCTGAGATGGAGCCAGGCATAGATATATTTAAATTTCCCAGGTAGTTCAAATGTGCAGTCAAGATAGACACTTCATTTAGCTAATACTAGTTGAAATTCTTTTTCTTTTTAAATCCTCACCTGAGGATATACTTTTATATTAATTTTAGAGAGAGATGGAAGAGAGAGGAGAGGGAGAAAGGGAAGAGAGGGGGAGAGAGAGAGAAACATCAATCGGTTGCCTCCTATACACATTCCAAACCAGGGATCATACCCGAAATCTGGTTATGTGCCCTGACCAAGAATCGATCCCGCAACTCTTACTGAGCCACACTGGCCAGGACTAGTTGAAATTCTTACATGCTAAATTATATATTCTTTGCATACTAATTTCTTATTTTTTAAAAAAGGTATATTGAATTTATACTCCATCTCCATTTAAAAATGATGACTGGTCTAAATGTTTGAAACATATTAGGGTTTTCTTTCTCCAACATTTAACATTTTCCATGTATGCATACAGATGGTCCCCACATACAATGGTTCGACTTAATGATAGACCGATATCTTAACAAGGCAGAGATGAGACTTGATTCGTGATTAGGTTAAGTCCTGATAAACCCACTGTAAGTTGAAAATGCTTTTAATGCAATAGCCGACCAAATGTCATAGTTTACTTAGCCTAGCCTACTTTTTTTTTTTTTTAATATATATTTTAATTGATTTTTCAGAGAGGACAGGAGAGGGATAGAGAATTAGAAACATCGATCAGCTGCCTCCTGCACACCCCCCAAGGGGTTTGTGCTCGCAACCAATGTACATGCCCTTGACCAAAATCGAACCTGGGACCCTTCAGTCCGCAGACCAACACTCTATCCACCGAGCCAAACCGGTTCCAGCAGCCTAGCCTACTTTAAATGTGCTCAGAATATTTACATGAGCTTACAGCTGTGCAATTGTCTCGAGTTTCATCTCAAGAATATTCGCCTTCCTCTTTTCACCAGAATCAGAAGACACAGATGAGAGTTTTACAGATATGATGGGACGCAAAAACACAAAACACAATATCCAAAAAACACTGGTAACAATCAGTTGTTTAACCTCATAATCATGGAGGCTGCCACTGCCCAACATCACAAGAGAGAATCAGACTGCACATTCCCAGCAGAGGAAAGGATCAAAATTCAAAATTCGAAATACAATTTCTATTGAATGCATATTGTTTTCACATCATTGTAAAGTTGAAAAATCATTAAGTTAAACCACTGTTAAATCAGGGTCCATCTGTATTGTGTTGCTGTTTTGTGTTTTTGTTTTTGTTTTTCAGATATTGTGTTCTGAGCATGTTTAAAGTAGAATCTTTAAAGCTAAGCTATGATGTTTGGTAGGAATATTACAAACATTTTCAACTAACGATATTTTTAGTTATGACAGGTTTATCAATGTATAACCCCTTTATAAGTCAAGTAGCAATGTACACAAATGCTATGTCCCTACATGCTTAGAATTGTCTAGAGGGATTTTTCATCAAATTGTTGACTATAGGAGATCTCTTAGGAGATTTTATAGTTTTCTCTGCATTTTTTATTTTTTAAAATATGCATTTAAAATATATTTTAAAAAAATAAAATATGCATTTAATTTTAAAAGAGTAGTTTTAAAGTTTCAATTATAAGACACTAAAGCTTTCATCCTAAATTTTAAAATAAGAAAAGTGAATATTTTTAATACTTTTAAGAAACCAGAGGAGCTGGCAAATACATTAAGAAAAGTTAGTATTTTCATCTCTTAGACATATATAATTTGAGCTATTTACAAAAGAATTTTTACTTTTCAAATTCAAAGAAGCCTTATTTATAATAAAAAAGTACTCTGACAATATTTATTATACTTACACAGACTCCGCATCCTTTTCCTTTTTAATTATTCCTGGCAAGCCAAAAGTCTTTCTTTTCCTTGGTTTTATACCTTAAAATAAATGTGTATTAAAAAATGTGTATTGTTACATAAACATTAACTCTTCCTGATAAATATATTAAATTTATGAATGCATCTTGTGTCTAGACACCTAATTTGCTCATAACTGTCGATACTAATTTTAGATGATAGAAATGAATGTATCTATTGTTAAACCGTAATACTGAAATCAGTTATATTCTCCTTAGACTTATATTAACATACTGTCGCCTGTTATTCACCAAAAGGTTTTAGAAGATTCCTTGATCAATGAAATTATCTTTTCTTCTATTAGTATTCCCCAAGTCAGTACATTATTTGCTATATTGGATTTTATTATAAATATAAGGAAATAGAAGGTCACAAAATATAAAAGTGTTATTTTAAGTAAAATGATGACTCAACATATCCATTAATAGTATAACATGGAAAGCTTAAATATGGCATCCACATGTTATCTCTAATATAAACAATGTTATGAGTGGACCTTACCATGAATGAGGAACTAATATTTTTGTTTTGACTAATATGGCAATTCTCCCTCCTCTTCTTACATGACAAATTAATTTTTAAAGGTCAGTCGTGCTATTAAATTGTTGGAGTTCAACACTTAAAGCTTAGCTGCTTCCTCTTTGAGAACTTGAGCACACCTAAGCTAACGTCTCATCTTATAGATGAAGAAACTCAAGGGTATTATTTCTTTTTTGTTTTTTTTAAGTAAGTGTTATATGACTAAGTAAACACTATAGCCAGGATTAGAATTCAGGCATCTTAGAATAATGTACTTGTATTCAAGCAAAACAAACTCCCTAAATCATACATTTATCGTTATATTTTTTAAACCAAGTACAGTTTTATTCTAAGAGTAGTATTAACTATCTACATTTTACAATAAAGAAAGCTGAAGCACAGAGAATTTAAATCATTCCTGCTCACAAACAGGTAATAACCATAAGAAATCTAGGCCCCAGAGCTCTTGACTGCTCCAATAGTAAACTTACACATGAGCTCCAATAGTAAACTTACACATGACAGCAAACCATTTCTCCAAATTCTTACACAGGTCTTAGAAAAAATAGAAGTTTGCTTTCAAATTATTTCTAGTAACTCACAAAGTAAGATTTCTAAAACATGACATACATGTTATATTTAATCTTTCAAAATATATGTTCTAATCACTAATCATCTTTTGACTAACCTGTTTATTTATTAAGTAAAAATGAGTTTCTGCAAGCCTTCAAAGCACATTAAGATTTTTTACATCATTCCACAAACAAGCTCGGCAATGGACAGCAGCCCTCTTTATTTGTTCAATAAACAGAAAATATTAGCTAGTTATCACACATTACAACTAGTCAACTTACCTTCAACTGCACTAGCAGGATCACATTCTTCAAATTCAATAAGGCCTAAAAAATATATGTATATGCATATAAACAACTGCTAGAAAAAGCTAGTAGAAAACAATCAGATCAAATCCCAGTACAATAAAAGTTGGCCTTAAACAACATGGGTTTAAACTATGCAGGTACACTTATAAGAAGATTTTTTTCAATAAATACCTGTATTGTTTTTGATCCACATGAGTTCGCAGATGCTGAAAGCCAGCTGCATGTACTGATCTACTCCATTTTATATAGGGGACTTGAGTATATGTGGACTTTGGTATTTGTGGGGATCAGGGAACCAATCCACCCATAGATACCAAAATACAACTTAAGTTTTTGGGTAGTCAAGTTATATACAGATCTTAGACTGCCTGAAGGTCAGCACCCATAACCCCCATTGTTCAAGGGTCAACTGTATCTTTTTGTGAAAATAGTAAAAACATGCCTTAACTCTATAAAAATTAATCCCTTTAAACAAAATTCTATATATTTTTTCACAAAACCTTTTTCCTATACCAGACATATCTTGATGGCTCTTCTCTTTATCTTTTCTAAACATCCCTTCAAATTCATTTGAAAAATGAAAATGTCCAATAAAATAAATTATTCAAAATGACATTTTAAAAATATAAGATGTCAAATCCTCTTAAATTGTAAAATATTAAAAATTTTAAGCTAAATATCATGTATACATAAGGTTTTCTATAAAAGATCAGAATACTAACACAGTTTGTGGTCTAATAAAACTAAATATACCCTTCTTTTAAAAATACATTAAATCATGCATGAAAAGATTTTCTTTTCAAATTGCATATGCTCCGCATGCTGTTTCACATAGCAAAGCATTGCGTGCCTGGCTCAGTGCCAGTTGACAGCTCAGCTGGATATCAGTGAACACGCTCTGACCCTCCTTGCAGCATGTCACTTCTGAACTGTTTTAGAAGTAGAAGATTTATTCAGCAACTCCCTCAAATGATGTCCACTGCCCATCATTCTGCTATTTAATCATAAAACAAGTTACTCTTCTTGACAGTATCAAAGCCAGACTGAGAGTCAGAAAGAATAATTTGCTACAACTGGAACTTCATTTAGACTCAATTCTGTTGTCAAAATAAATAACTGCTCTTAGTACTTACTACTAGGCCACAAGGGCAATTTAGTATGCATAAAAGCAAATAAGACTATTTTGGCTCTGTCTCCTCATCCTCTTTCACACAGTATCTAAAATGTCATCATGAGACCAATTAAAGGCAGAAAAAGTTAAAGGCAGACCTCCAAAAAGTGAACTGCTGAAAGCAAAACAATTCTTACATATGATGCTTTAATAACCAGGTAGGAATAAATTACTGCTATAAAAAAGTTAACAACCAAAGAACATTGCAAACTGTTGAACAAAAATAGAGGCAAAGAGGCATCGAACAGACTGTCAAACTACAGCAGGAAGGTAGAGGGTGGTGGTAAGAGATTAACCGAAGGACTTGTATGCATTCATATAAACACAACCAACAGAAGCAAGACACTGAGGGGGAAAGGCAGGGTGGGGGTGAGGATGAAGATGAAATGAGTGCAAGTGCTGGGGTGGTAGGGGAGGCTGGGGGGAGGTCAATGGGGGGGGGGGAAAAGATTTTATATATATATATATTATTTGTAATACCTTAAACAATAAAAATAAAATTTTTAAAAAA